ACAACTCCTGCGTACCTCAGCCCGCCTCTTTGTTTGCCCGTAAGAGTACAACACAGCTGTAGCCCTAGCATAGGCAACTGACGGCAACAGCAGAGGAGGTTACCCATGCAGTATAGACCGGCTCAGGGGTGGGGTAGCGGGGGTGCGGGTGGGGGAATGAGGGACCGACCAGACAGTGCGGACAAGCATTTGTCATTCGGTCGCCTATGAATTATCCCAACCGGTGGGGCAAGACAGAGGTGGCATTTGGCGGCAGGGGAATGGCAACGCTATGAAGCTGCACATTTAAACCAATGATTTAACAATACCCATGTCCTTCCTCCTGGACGTCCCATTCCCTCACTCCGCCCCCTCCCCCTCTAAATTGCCACAGAAACCGAAATAATGTGGGGTGCACTGAGGGCTGTCAGGTCTGCACATACAATGTGTGCGTGGATGAACTGTCGACTGCGGAGGGTCCCGAGCGTAGGCTTCAATTTGCGACCAACGCGCTTGTTTGTTTGTTTGTTTTTCATTTCCCGAATTGGGTCGACGAGGGATGGGTGGGATAGAAGAATAAAAAGGACACGGTTTCCAGGACAGGTTAACTGATATCCTTATTTGTCACCACCACCATCTGTCGTCGACATTGGGGTCGGAAAACTGAAATGAGCCCCATGGACCGCATCTCACACATGTTCACATGTGTCATTCCATGTGCTCTCGCTCTTCACTTCGATTCCGCTAGATTTAGCAAAAAGCTGCACCGAAGAACTCCTTCAAACATATACTTCTGAGGTGCCTGCAGAGGCTTTACTTCAACTCCTTGATCTCTGTCTGGAGACAATTTTTTCCTTCTCAAATCAATGCTACCGGCAATTAAAAGGTGCTCCCATGGGTTCACCAATATCCGGTTTCCTGGCAGAAGCATTTCTGCAGAAATTAGAGAGCATAGCCCTTCCCACAGTCAATCCAAAACTTTGGCTGCGATACGTAGATGACACTTTTGTCATCGTCATGAAAGATCAGTTGAATCTGCTCCATACCAATATTAACTCCATATTTCCAGCAATTACATTTATGTTGGAAACAGAGGTCGATGGACAACTCCCATTCCTGGATGTCCTTGTACGTCGAAAAACCGATGGATCACTTCAGACATCAGTTTATCGCAAAGAGGCGTATTCAGAGGTCATCCTACACTTTGAGAGTAACCACCCTGTCTCTCACAAACGGAGCACAGTCAACAGCCTTCTGAATCGTGCCAAAACCCGCTACTCTGACGAAACAAGTTATCGAGCAGAAATGAAATACCTCTACAAACTGTTCTCCCAAAATGGGTACCCGCATGACTTTATACGTCAATGCATGAGGCACCAGCTACTCATGGGAAAAGGTATTTCCAATGCTACGGCCGCTCAGGCACTAAAACCAACCACATGCCGAACTCTCCCATACGTCAAAAATGTATCTGAACTTGTCAAAAGACAATTGAAAAAGTACCAGACACACGTAGCACACCAGCCGGCAACTACCTTACGCACACAGCTTGTGCACCCTAAGGACAGGGTCGGCTACCTCGAAAGAAAAGGTGTCGTCTACAAAATCCCGTGTTCTAGTTGTGATGCCCTTTATTGTGGTCAAACTGGGAAATCTGCCTCAATCCGTATACATGAGCATCAGTTAGCGGTGAAGAGACGCGACCATCTATCACAGGTGGCCATGCACACACTAGACACGGAGCATAAATTCGCATGGGAAAACACTCGCAATGTTGGCGCCTGCCAAACAAGGAAAGACCGCGAATTCCTGGAGGCAATGCACTCAGATGAGGCATGCATCAACCGGCATATCGATTTAGATGCCACATACAAAATCGTTAAGGACAGATTCAAACTGAGTCAGCCAATCCCGAGATGACAACCTTAACCAATCACGGACTCCTTTTGCTAGAATCAGTCTAAAAGTTAATTGTTTTTGCACACCCATTGTCTGAAGACGAGCTGGGGGAGCAGTCTCGAAAATTCACAAAAAAATTTTGCCGTTTCCCAAAGAACTTCACCGGTCTAATGTTCACTATGTACATAAACGTAGACTTGGTCCTCGAAACCTACGCGAACTCCTCAGGGTGAGAGCATGATGAAAATGCTTCGACCTCCTCGTGTGACAAAAATGGACCTTCTTCGTCCGGAATAATTGCCTCCGGAGTCAAAACTAATTTTAATGCAAGGGTTTATTATACGACTGCCATCAAAATTTCTTCGCAGTACTTCGAGATAAAAGTACTTAATTAGTTTTGCAGAAGTGGTTTGTGCATATTTATTAAAAAGGACAAATTGACCAATAGCCGTCTTGAGCGTCGCCTCGTTCTCGTTATGCAGGCTTTTACTACCTGCAGGCGGTCGTGCATGTATTTCAAAGGGTGTCAATGACATGAATGAATGTGGACAATGAATTGCAGCATCAATTAAGAGGGCCTTGCAGCAAGTGTCTAGAGTGAAAGCCAGCAGTAGTAGACTGACCTCACCTAGAAGAATAATCTCGCTGTTCACAGATTTTCACTACGCGGCAATTACGCCCCTTGTCGGCTGAAATATCCAAACGCTAATTCAACGACCGATCTGATCGGACGGTGCCATCTTCAAAATGAATGGGTGGTTAAATCGATATAACTGCGTTTATTGGTCTGATTGCAAACGCTAAGAAATATTACAACAGGAGTTCAATTTGCCTGGTGTCAGTGTTTGTGGTGGTATTTTCAGTACAGCATCAATTGGTCCGTTTTTCTTTGAGAATACAATGACGGTCGAATCATCTCTAAAAAGTGTTAGCTGATAAGCTTTGGCCCGTAGAGTCTCGGTGTGCAGATTTCACTGACTTGTACTTGCAACAGAATTGGGCGCCTAATACTTATGTCTTCTCTGTGCGAAGGTGATTTGATGTATACGGGTGGGGCGACGCGGTTTCGTGGAATGGACCGCAAGGTCCTCAGTCACCCAGATTTCTCTCTTCGGGTAACACTCAACATTCAGATATTCGTCAGTAACTTAAAGACTCTCAGTGACCTAAAATAGAGTATCATATTGCATGAATACTTTCTTCGATGTTTAACGTGCGTCGTGTGCAGAGCGTGTCTCAACTGAAAGAGTGCAGTAATAAATTCAAAATCGAACAATATGAGGGAAAGATCATGCACATTACAATTGATACAAAACAAGGTCCAATTAAGATTTGTGCTAGAGACATGCATCCTGAAGGTTTTTTGGAAGCATATGCAATAAAATGATGTTCCATTTATTTTTAACTTCTAGTGGTAATAGGGGTTCTGGTACATCTGGGCTACCCTGTAATTTGCAGAGAAGGATTACGTTTCAGATAGCTGGACAGGATAGTACTTTCCGATGTGAAGAAGTACTACAAAAATAATAAGCTGATGGCCTCCGATGTAAGCCGCAGTCAGTGCTCTGGCAGACACCTGATTGTAAATCATAGGTCTTGTTGAAATTTGAAGTGTGGACAGATTTATTGAAAGAGGTCAGTCGCCAATAAAACAAATGCGTTGGAGCTGCAGGCCGAATTCGGCCAACACAATCTGATTGACGGCCTGCAGTTTAAAGCAGCAGCAGCAGTTAGGTCTACGCATCTGGGCATAGACCGCTGTCAAATGGACAGAGGAAAGAATCTGCACCAATCATGTACTCGTGAACCCAACTCCAGGAATGTTACTTTAGTGTCATGCCTGCAAATGACGAGTGTCACCTTCTTGAAGACTATCCTTTGAGTGTGACCTGCGGAATTCATTTCAGGGGAGGGAGCCAGCACTTGATACAGCCCAAAGTCGGAGCAAGTGCAGCTAGAAGATGAGGGCCGTTGGAATCGTCTGCGTAGGCTATCCATCACTTTCCTCGTGAGTTCCGTAGCATTTACTACACCCGACTACGTCCTGCCCGTCGTGCGTATTCGCCTACAGCCTCGCAGGAGACCTCAAGGTAAGCGACCCCCAGGTATGCTGAATGTTGCCTTGTTGTCTTTGCCCGCTCACCGTCTCCATTTCAGCAATGAGCTAGCTCAACGGCTAGACAACATCCCCATCGCCGATGCCGCCGCTGCCGAAAACGCCTCCGTAGAGAACCGCTGGTGTCAACTGCGAGACACGGTCCAGTTGACGGCGCTCACCGTCCTCGTTCGCGCTCCCCGCCAACACCAGGACTGGTTCGACGACAACGACGCCGCCATCAGAAATCTGCTTGTTGAGAAGAACCGCTTACACAAAGCCTACGTCGATCACCCCACTGACGACAACAAAGCTGCCTTCTACCGCAGTCGCCGCCAACTTCAGCAACGACTGCGCGAGATGCAGGACGCCTGGACTGCTCGCAAAGCTGAGGAGATCCAAGGCTACGCGGACCGCAACGAATGGAAGAACTTCTTCTCTGCGATCAAAGATCTCTACGGTCCACCGACAAATGGCGCTGCTCCTCTCCTCAGCGCCGACGGCAGCACTCTCCTGACTGAGAAGACGCAAATCCTTCAGCGATGAGCCGAACATTTCCGAGGCGTCCTAAACCGCCCTTCCGCCATCTCCGACGCTGCCATCGCGCGTTTGCCGCAAGTCGAGTCCAACGCGGACCTAGACCTCCCGCCATCTGTCCAGGAAACCATCAGGGCCGTGCAGCAGCTCTCCAGCGGGAAAGCACCTGGGTCGGACGCAATCCCTGCTGAGGTCTACAAACACGGAGGTCCCCAACTCATGGATCAACTGACTGCGCTCTTCCAGGAGATGTGGCGTCAAGGTGAAGTCCCGCAAGATTTCAAGGACGCAACGATCGTGCACCTATACAAGCGAAAAGGGAATCACCAAGTCTGCGACAACCACCGCGGCATCTCCCTACTGAACATCGCCGGGAAGATCTTCGCTCGCATCCTGCTCAACCGCCTCAACAACCATCTGGAACAGGGCCTTCTGCCCGAAAGCCAATGCGGGTTCCGTCGTCATCGTGGGACCACGGATATGATCTTCGCCGCCCGCCGACTTCAGGAGAAGTGTCATGAGATGCGGACCCACCTGTACTCTACCTTCGTGGACCTGACGAAAGCCTTCGATACGGTGAATCGTAAAGGATTGTGGAAGATCATGCAGAAATTCGGCTGTCCGGAGCGATTCACTCAGATGGTGCGTCAGCTGCACGACGGTATGATGGAGCGAGTCACGGACAACGGAGCTGTCTCAGAGGCATTCGCAGTGACTAACGGAGTGAAGCCGGGATGCGTGCTGGCGCCTACCCTCTTCAGTCTTATGTTCTCTGCCATGCTGATGGACGCCTACCGCGAAGAACGCCCCGGGATTCGCATCGACTACAGGACGGACGGTCACCTGCTGAATCAACGGCGGATGCACTTCCAATCACGCGTATTCACAACAACCATGCACGAACTCCTCTTCGCCGACGACTGCGCCCTGAACACCACCTCAGAAGAGGAGATGCAACGGAGCATGGACCTGTTCTCCGCCGCCTGCAAGAACTTCGATCTGGTCATTAACACGCAGAAGACGGTGGTGATGCATCAACCGCCACCCAACTCAGCCACAGTCCCCAACGCGTCGCCGCAAATCAGCGTGAATGGGACCATACTGCAAGTGGTGGAGAACTTCCCGTACCTGGGCAGTACTCTCTCCCGCATCACCAAGATTGATGACGAAGTCGCCAACAGGATCTCGAAAGCCAGTCAAGCCTTCGGTCGTCTCCAAAGCACAGTTTGGAATCGTCACGGTCTTCAACTGAACACGAAGCCGAGGATGTACAAGGCCGTCATCCTGCCGACGCTACTTTACGGAGCAGAGACATGGACGGTGTACACGAGGCAGGCACGCCGTCTGAACCACTTCCACCTCAGTTGTCTTCGTCACATCCTGCGGCTGAACTGGCAGGATCGCATCCCCGATACTGATGTGCTGGAACGAACGGGAATCCTCAGCATCTACTCCATGTTGAGACAAATGCAGCTGCGCTGGAGCGGCCACCTGGTGCGCATGGACGACGAGCGGCTACCCAAACGACTCTTCTACGGAGACGTCGCGACGGGTTCTCGTCGTCAAGGAGGCCCTATTCGTCGATGCAAGGATTCCCTGAAGTCCTCCCTGAAGCTACTGCAAATCAACCCGACCAACTGGGAAGAGCTCGCCTGCGATCGTCCGGCATGGAGGAGAACAGTGAAGACGGGCGCTGCTATCCACGAAGCCAACCGCATCGCCGCCGCCAAAGCGAAACGCGAAGCCCGCAAATCACAACTTCGCCCAGTACGCAACGCTGCCGCACAACTGCTTCCAACGTGTCCTCGATGTAAGCGGACATTCCGGGCTCGAATCGGCCTTGTTGGACATCTTCGGATCAACTGTACCTCTCGAACTGCACCAAAATTCATCCCCCCGCCCGCGTCATCCTCGTCCTCTCTGCTGCCGAATAACTCTGTGAATTCTTCTGCACAACCACTTCCATCCTCCTCCTCCT